AGGGTAAGGATTTTAGAAAAAAGTATCGTCTTATAGTCGGAAAAATATGGTAATTGGTGTTAGATTAACTTCTATTACATTTCTAATATACAAGAAAACGGATTTCAAAACAGAATTCCTTCTGTGTGTTTCATAGATAGTCACATGTTCACATGGCAGATATGAGGAATCACCAATTCCTCCCACAATGACAACATAAAGGATACAGCAGCCCACTGCATGTTGTACCTTCTTTTCTGCATTCTTGTTCCTCGCAATTGTCTTTCTGTGCTGGGAGACACCTGTGCATATTTTCTGGGGAATAAGCCTTAGATGCCATGTTCAGACTGGAGTCTGAATAAACGTGATTGTACTACACCTTACCAAACTGGAAATCATGCAACCTAAGAAGAAATTATATACAATCTTCTTCAGTTTGTTGAACAGTAGCACAATCAACTTGCACTTCCCTACCTTCCTAACATACAATATATGCTGGCCTCTAGATCTTTTTCCCTCATGTGTTTCTTCCATGACTCATGAAGTGCAGGGTGCCAAGCACAGAGAATGGCTATTTCTGTGCCACCAGTGCAAACCCCGCTACCTCCACTTACATTGTCAAGTGAACTTCCATAGTAGGAGCCACCCTGTGTTCTTTGTTCTTAACAACTTATCATGGAAATATCTTCAGCATTGCCAGCTTCTCAGATTCAGAAGCTTGTCTCCTTTCCTACTTGCAGCTTCCTGACATTTACTCACCTGTAGAGTGGGTAGAGGTCCTCAATATTATACCTCTACTCTAGACAGTTTCCTAAATAGTTCCCATGACTGATGCTGCTATAGCTATTACCCCAAGATATTTATCAATTGAATATATTTTACATATAAAATTAAATGAATAATAGCAGCATCCTTTGGTGCCAAAGGACACTTCTGAAACCCACAATTAACTCCTTGAATGTGATTGCATAATTGTTTCTTATAAGGTTTACGATCCTGCATTGTCTCAGCATTACTAGGACTTCATGTTCTGTATATTAAGCCTGCTGTTAAGTTCCACTCTTGAGTTTTATTGCTGTTTGTTGCTGGATGTGCAATTTCTTGTACTTGTACTTCCTAAAATTAGTTTGCAAGCATTTTTGCAGCTATGCAGTATAAAACTTGTTGTCTATTCACTGAAAAATTATCTTTATATTCCTTGATAATTTGAGCATATACATTTTGGATAGTAAATACTGAGCTTTAAAAATGCTTTATATTTAATGTTAAAAACAAATTCAAATATTTTGAAACTTAAGCCTTACTAAGGCAACATCCTGCTTTCTATTCTCAAAGCATTGCACTTTATAACTTTTTATAGTTATTACATCATTCAACAGGGTTTTTTCCCCCCTTCTTTATTATAGCTATTATTTTATAGAGGTTTTACAAAACTTACAAAAATTATCCAGGGAGCTTCTCTAGCTGAATATGGACTTTGAATCTGGGTCTCTCTGGTTTTAGTCCAGGATCCTAGCCACGTCACAGCAGTTCACAATACTCATGGGGGGGGGAGTAATTTTGATGTATTCTAGACCAAAAGTGGGGTTTTAAAGATCAAAACTTGGAAATCTAATTGAACCCATAAAAGAATTGAAGAATTAAAGTTATACATTCTCTGTAAATAGAACATTTTTTTTAATAATGAAACTTTACAAATTGAGTATAGAATCACTTTCTGGGGTTCTCTGAGCTTGGTTGTTTTCTTGCAAACATTTCATTACCTGGCTAGGTAACATC